CGCGGAGGAGCAACGAGGGATCCAGAGGTGGGCGGGGTCCCTGGGAAAATCCTCTTTCTGGGTGCGTGGAAAATAGACTGCAGCAGAGTTTGGGTGGGAGCAGGGAGACCAGCCCCTGCCTGAGATGGGGGAAGGAGAGGAGAGACGGGGAAGGGTCCAGAATAGGTTCCGCAGGGGGAACCAGCTGATGGGCGGCAGGCTTTGTGTGTGGAGGCTGAGTGAGAGGGAGGGGTTCGGGATGAGCTTGGGGTTGGGGCCTCAGCACTGGGGAGTCAGGGAGCCTTCTGGTAGGACTGGGTGAGGGGGCATGGAGGCTGGAGGCGAGGAAGGAAGAAGCTCCTTGCTCAGCCTCCCAGGCAGCCCTGCCGTGGGAGGTGAGGAGGGCTGTGGGGACCCCTCTGCTCTGACAGCCCCCACCCCTGCCTGTGTCTGCCCCAGGAGGCCTCCCTGCTGACCCTCGCGCAGAACCAGCAATGGATTTGCCTGGAGACCCTCACTCCAGACACCCAGTATGAACTTCAAGTGCGGGTCAGGCCCCAGCTGGGCAAAAACGAGGCTTGGAGCCCCTGGAGCCAGCCCCTGGCCTTCAGGACGAGGCCCGCAGGTGCCAGTGGGCAGAAGGGGTGGGACAGAGCTCAGGCAGGAGAGGGGCTGGCTGGGGTGTGGTCCGAGGGCAGCTGGCGGGGGAGGCCTGAGGACGGGGTCCAGGGCTCGGCCCCAGCAGCGGCAGGGGGATGCTGGAGGGACCTGGGCGATGGGGGGCCCTTCTCTAACCCCTCTCGCTGCTTCTCCCACCCCCGGGCAGCCCCAGGGAAGGAGGCTGTGCCCTTTCCTTGGCTGGGCCGCATCATCATGGGCATCAGCAGTGTCTTTGGCTTCATCATCTCGGTCTACTTGCTGGCCAACTGCCGGTACATCGGGCCGTGGTAAGCGCCCTCCCTTCTTGCTCCTTCGTGCTCTCCTCTGACACACGCACCGACACGGTGGTGCTTCCTCTGCCCTCCCGAGAGTCCCCCCTGCCTAACACCTGGCTTTGCCCTGCCACCCACCCCCAAAGATGGAACCCTGTGGAACTGGCCTCAGGGGATCCGAGGAAGGAGAGCCCCATGGCAACCCTGCCCCGAGCATTACTCTCAGGAGCTGAGTGTGTGTGTGTGTGTGTGTGTGTGTGTCTGTGCACATGCCGGCTGTCTGCGCGTGTGTCCTCACGGGTCTCTCTAGGTCCGGGCACGCGTTGGCGTATTTCTTTATTTCTTGAGCCCCAGCTCAGTGCCAGGCCTGGGGCGGAGTGCTGGGAATGCAGGGGCAGGCCACACGCATGCAATCTGGAGCCCACAGACCCCTGGGAGAAGGCAGACGTTTACTAATCACACACGAGTACAATGACACGCCACGAGGAGGATGGCAAAGGAAGACGTTCGATGTATTGGAAACAGACATCAGGGAGAGGAACCTTGGCTGAGGGGTGGCTGGCAGAAGCTTCTCCAAGGAAGTGATGGGTCCCTTGAAATCTGAAGGAGGAGCTAAGCAGGCAGGGTGGAAGGGGTTGGGGAGCGCATCCCAAACGGAAGAAGCCGGGTGCGCAGAGACCCTACGTGAAGGGGGTGGAGGAGAGGGCTGACCCGACATCTGAGGGGCAGACAGGCTTTCTGGGGCCTTGGGGCTCTGACTACATTTTGAAGCAGGTGCCTACAGATACTGGGGCATTCTGCTTGGCAGGCCGAGCACGGGCTGGAAGTCGGCCCCCACTCACTACCCTCCTAGAACCGGGTGCCCTTGGGCAGTGCACAACCTGAACCACCATCCATGACAGCCTGGACTAGGAGACCCACGATCTGGCCTCTCTCCTGCCTCCTTCCTCCTGGTTCACTCTACTCCAGACGCCTGGCTGTGTGTGGTCCCTGACCGGTCTGGCTCACGTGCCCCCCACCCCCCACACCCCCACCAGCCCTACATTTTCTCTTTCACAGTCCGCCGCTTTCTGTTTGCATAGAACGCATGATAATGTCGCACACTTGGTTCGTGTCTGTCTCTTCTTAAGATCGGGGGCCTTCTCTGTTTGCCATTCCTGTGTCCCCTCCCTTACTGGGTATTCCCTTGATACTGATCAAATGAATGAATGTGGAGGGGTTCGGTACCCTGCCTTCAGGGCCGCGGGGGGCTGGCCGGACACCATGGCCCCCTTCCCTTCTCATCCACCTTCCCTCCCTCCCTCTCTCCTGTTCAGGCTGAAGAAGGTTCTGAAATGTCACATCCCAGATCCCTCAGGATTCTTCTCCCAGCTGAAGTCAGTGCATGGAGGAGATTTCCAGGTAGGACTCTGGAGGTGGAGGCCAGAAGCAGGCACGGCCGGCTTGGGTTGGCCAGAGAGCGGGCAGAGGTGTGAGTGGGTTTGCGCTTTGCGAAAGGAGACAAGATAAGGAACGGAATAGCCTCCGGGGTGGGGGTGGGCCCCTTTCCCCAGCTCTGGCACCAGCCTTCTCAGGCTGAATGGCACCTCCCGTCCGAGCCAGACTTACTGGGTTCTAATCCCGGCTCCGCCCCTTGTTGGCTGTGTGATGTTTGGTAAGTTAGAGAACTTCTCTGTGCTCCATTTCCTCGCCTGTAAAAAGGGGAGGGAGATAGTGTTGCCAGGCGTATGGACCCACTGCCTGGGACACAGTAAGCGCTCGAGGGGCCCTAGCGGGAGTTACTGTCCCCAGTCTGTCCACCGAGCGGGGCTCGCCAGGTACAAATTCTCGCGACCCCACCACTTGCGCAGACCTTCTTCGTGGGCGCAGGGCTTCCACTGACCCTGAGCAAAGCCCCGAGCAGGCTCCCTGCCTCGTCCCCGGTGCTAACAAGTCCTCCAGCCACACCTCGTCACTTGAGACACAGATTCACGGTTAAAGCGTGGGCCCCCGAGAGTAGTAACACTCTGAACCCCATTTCAACCTCAGTCGCCTCCCCTCCCCGAGCCCACACTTGCTTCAGGAAGGAAGTGTCAAGGGAGGTGGGGGATGCGGTGGGCTGCTTCTGTCACCCTCCCCTCCCCAGGCTCTCTAGATTCGGTGGGGGGG